TGATGCATTGACAGAGTGAGTGGCTCTCTCTCTGTCTGTGTAATATAATGAAGCCTTATTTTGATCCGATCCAGTTTGTCCTATTAAAGTTCTAAACACCTGTGTGTGTGCTTCAGATTAAGAGCCCTATAGCGTTTCAGTGGAGAGAAACCCTTTATTTCAAGGCTTTTATTATAAAAAATATGCAGGAAAATAATTGACTTGCAACTCCACTCTCATGCATGGGCTCTCATTATGTTCCACTCCAGCGGTTGAATCACATGCAACAGTAGTGGTAAAATTCGATATACAGTCCAGTCTGGTCTTTGGCTTCATGTCAGGTTTTAAAATTTTCTACATTGGTCCAACTGTACTAATCACTTCTGCTTTTAACCCTCTCTATAGTGCCACGGTGTTAACTAAGGATGCCCTTTGGAATGTCTACCACCATGTTCATGTCTGAGAGGGGTACAAATATCAGTGTTCAAAACTCCAATCAGCCATTTCACTAACAAGGACCACACCAATGAAGGTGTGGAATTATTTATTGCACGTAATGAATAAATAAAAGGGATGAGGGTAGGCGTCGAGGGGTCGAAGGATGAGGGAAGAGGGGATGAAGAGTTGAGGGATGAAGGGAAGAAGGGTTGTATCTGGGATTCCCTGCCTGGAAGCAGTGGATGTGGTTCGAATGAGGGGAACTCCATGAGTAACGGCGTCAGAGGCTAGTGCCAATTGTCTGAATTTCTGTAACGAGAAGCGAGACAGTGTGTCTGCGATTGTGTTTTTGTAACCTGAGATGTGAGAGGCTCGGGTAATTAATTGATGCTGGGCTGAGCTTCTGTATGAACTGCATTATATCAAAGCAGTGGGACTGGCGCAAGGACTTCATGGAGTTTTTATCGATGGAACAGGCCGCCTCCACTCTAGTAGAGGATAATAGGCCGGATGAACTGTGGAGCTTTTTTAAATCTTGTCTCCAGGAAACATGAGGATCCCCATGCTGTAAAGAACTGATATACTACTATACCCCCCCTTATCCTTTTTGTTGGTTTGTTTGTTTGTTTTGTTGTTGTTGTTTTTTGTGTGGTCGCTGTTATCACTGTTGTTGTGTATGTTTTGTTGTTGTTTGTTGTTAAAATATTAATTAAAATAAGTAAATACATAAAAAGCAGTTGGACTGGTCCCTTGTTTATGATGGATGGATGGTGGTGGTGGTGTAAATGATTTTCTTGGACAATTTGTGACCCCAAAGAATAGCTGCAATAATTACTGGGTAGGTTTCGCAGATGGCAGAGTAAGAAGAATTCGAGCGGGTGTTTGGCTGAAAACTGCTGCGTCTATGAATAGCTGGATGTATTCTAGCTTAGTGATGTTGTTGTCATAAAATAATGAAATGCTGTTACATGATGGGAGAAACTGGTGCCATAATTTTTGCTCCAATTTGCGTGCATCGTCCGGTGTGGCTTGTTTGTGGAGGGATGTGACAGAGAAGGTTATGGAAAGGAGGTGTGAAGAGAAGGATCTTGGGGGATGGTGCGGATGGCGTAGTTTAGGTGGCTAAGCAGCGAGAGAAGTTGTTTAGTTGTGAGCAAGGAGGAAATATGGGATGAGTCTTTACTTAAGTATTTCCTGGTGGCAATGTGGGTTGGACTGATTCCGAATGTAGGGAACGGTGGACTGGAGAATTGACCGATTATGAATGCGTTTTTTAATTTCTGGGGCTCAGAGGTGGCTGACTGTAAATTGTGGCATGTATAGGAGGAATCTGGCATGACCTGTATACCTAGGTGAAAACCGTGTGTAAACCTTTGTATGAGGTGGTTAACAAACTGTTGATCTGGGTGGTTTTTTAAGGCGGTGGCAAGAGCGCTGATATTTAGTGGTGTATTTCGATACTTATGCGGGCTGTGCTTAGTTGGATTATGGGGACAGGCTGATCTTGCATGAGCTCCGCCGCAGAAGGAGCAGGTGAGGAGCATTTCAACTGGAGATGTTGCTTCTGAGGTTGTTGGAATTGTTACAAACCATCCTCTCGGCATGGTAGAGGACTGGTCTGCCTCTCTTGTCGACGCCCTTGGAACGAGGGCCGTGGTTGAACATTTGCAGATTTTGGGGGTGATGGATGGATGGATGGACGGATGGGTGAGGGGCTTTTGAGGGCATACAGTGGAAAACGGCGGGGCTAAGTTGATTTTGAGGTGAGGTCCGGGGCAAAGAATCTGTGAAGGTACATCTTGTTCTGGATCTAGTGAGCCCCCATGAGTTCCCTCACTGAATTGTTGCAGGCAACTGGCAGCTTGGGATGCGAACGGAATATGTAGAATCCACAGGGCTGAGTCAAGTATCAGAGACGTGTATCCGTCCGGCTGTGACCTGCGGTCGGGAAACACTGAGCAATTTATGTCGCGGTACGAGGGGAATGGGAAGGTGAATTGTACTGTGATGAGTTCTTTAGAGCAAGTAGAAAGTGGCTGTTTGTGTTCGATTGGACTGAGTGCAGTTTGCGGTTCTCTTGCGATATGAGGGTTGCATGTGGACGGATGTATTGAATGGCGAGGTCGATGCATATACGTCTGTAAACTGTTACAGTGATGACTGAAATAAAACTATTAACTGTTGCAGGGGCTTCCATGCTTGCCTGGACTAAGAGGTGAACCGGTATTTTGAACATAAAAATAAAAATTACGTATACATTTTAGGAATATGCATAGATGATTAGTTATCGTTCAATAAATATTAACAGGGAAGGAGAGGAGACCCTGGAACAAAGGCAGGACCAGGTCCTGATGGGCCAAAACGAGGGAAGGTAAGTTCAGCGTGCAGAATTATATGGGCGAGATCGACGTAGTGAGAGGCGAGAATCTGTTGTCTGAGAGTGGGTGATGCGGGAGATGGTTGGGAGGATATGACTGGGCGCGCTGGAGGTAATGCTAGGTGGCTAGAGTGAAATTATTATGCATGGGAGGATGGGTGGGAAAGCCCGTGATTGGGCTATGTGGGGACCTGTGGGAAAAAAAGGAGACGCGTCAAATGAAGAAAAAGAAACACCAGCTGTGTATAAATAAACGGGAGGAAAATTATGGTTTTGACTGGTAGCATTGCCATGGATTGTAGTTGTGGGCACCCTCTGTGAGGCTGAGAAGGTTGGTGTTGGAATGGAAGGCGTGGAGGCAGCCAAAGAAGACAGGACGGGGAAGTTAGAAATGAGAGACGGCAAAAGGATGCTGGGATAGAGGGATGCATGTGCTCAGGTTGTTTGTGAAGTCTGTGGTAAAGAAGAAGATGGATGAGAAGCCGAAATGGCAGGCACTGGGTTCAATACGACCTGGTCCTCTGAGAGGGCTGATGAGGAAGGCTGAGCTGTGGGATGCGCCGTGACGTTGCTGCAACGCCGGGAACCCGGAAGTGGTGGTGAAGCTTGGCGAGGAAGAGTTTTGCTTTCCTGGAAGTGCGTGAAAAGTTGGAAATGTTTTGCTTTATTATCGGTGCGTTGGAAGGGTATGTTTCACTGAGAGAGGGTGTGCCGAGGGACAGCCAGAGAGATGGCGAGGTCAAGTCTGGTCGCAGTGGCTTCGCAAAGACTTCCCTGGATCTGTTGGGGGACGAAGGCCTGATGGTGTTGGAGTTGTCGGTGGAGCGTCGGGGCACTTGGATTGTTGAGCAGAGCCAAGGGGGTAACCGAAGAAAAGGACTCGAAGATTTCGGGAGCTTGCCATTCGTCATCAAACATGTCGCTGTCTGAAGGGTTGAGGATGGGCTCGTTCTCCATGGTTCGAGGTATACATTTTTTGTGTTTCTTGTCTGACACCGATGATGTGAAAACTGAGTAGAGGAGGGAGTCAACGGAGAAGTTGTGCTTAAGTATGTTTTGAGCGGAAATGAGGTGAGTGTATGGCGTGGTCTTTGTTCCCGAACCTAGTTATAAAACTTTATTTTGAGTATCTGGTAATGCCCTTTGGTCTCACTGATTGTTCATGCCTCGGCTAGGAGGGGAAGGGGAGGAGTTACAAACACACACAGCACAGTGAGTACACAAACAGGAGGGAGAGAGACAAGAGAGAGTGAGAGAACTTTGCACTACATAGTCAGACAGAGACGGGCATGACAGGAAGCATAGTAAAGTTTGGACACATTTTATTGTGATGGACAGTTCAAATGCAGAGTGTAGACTGTGCAAAGTTAAAATTTCATATCGAGCAGGCTCCACAAACAACCTGCACAGGCATATGCGAACTGTTCATCCATCAGTACAATTAGAAGAGAAAAGACAAGCAAGGGAACCTGCTTTTAATGAAAGTGCCAGTGTGTCTACTGCAACTGTTGCTGCTCCTACAACGTTTACAGCATCATCCAGTACACCACAACAACCACCTAGAACTGCAACCCAGAGCTCTATGAGCCAGTTTTTGCAAAAGGCTATAACCCCAGCAAAACAAACCTAAAATCAGGACAAATAAAACCAAAATTACCTGTATAAAGTAAAAATAATCATAAATACATAACATAATAAAAACAAATATACTGTAATGTGCAAAACAGCAGTTTTAGGTGTCTCTATGAACTAACCACAATCAACTATCTAAATGTAACTTTTAATTATTTTTTTAATTTGCTCTGTATCCTGTATTCTGCCCTGTAGCGTGTAGATCATCATATCATTCTGCCCTTGTTCACGTAAAAGAGCCGGCTCTTTGAACCAGCTCGTAGCTGACTGCAGTGTGTGAATGGGTGAATGTTGACTTGTTGTTTAATGTGCCTTGACTGGTCGGAAGACTAGAAAGGCACTATATAAATGCAGTACATTCACCATCTATTTGCATGTGTTTTCTTAAATCGCAGGGCTCTGAGCTCTCAGGTGTGTACCAGGGCTTTTCAATAAACCTAAAATGTAAAAACAGTCAAATGTATAACCAAAAAAATTTAAATATGTTGAATTTCATGACCCATTATAAATTTTTTTGGTAGTGCATAATATTTCAGTGTGACAGCTGGGCAATAAGCTTGACAAAAGTCTAAAGTAGTGCCACAATTATTTTATTTAGTGGTATTTGATACATTCAGTGAGCATTTAATGGCAAGAGTCCATGATACGCCTCATGCTCATGAACCTCATGCCGCTGAATCCCATGTCCCTGTAGCTCCTGTACTCTCCGGGCCTCAGGTACATCATCCTGCCTCTGTAGTTGGGCTGCTCGTACATCAGCCAGTGGCCGTCCATCACGTTGCAGGACATGCAGTCGGACATACGGTAGCGGTCCATGATGTTGTTGCAGTCGTCCATCAGCTCATGCATCTGACCACCGAAGTTCTCCCTCTCGTAGATCCTCATCCTGTACTGGCCTCTGTGCTGTTTTTAAAAGAAAAGAAAAATTAATTAATATCAAGTATTGTTGTGGTTGTCACCCGTAACAGAACCATAGTGTGATGCATCCTGTTTTATACCTACCATGGGGATCATACGGCAAGACCTGATGCAGTCCCTCATTCCCATCATGCTCATGTAGTCGGCGTACTCGCCCCTCCTCATGAAGTACTGGTTTCCCATGTAGTTGGAACGGTCGTAGACCATGAAGCAGCCACTCTCCACCCTGCAGGAGTGGCACCTGCTCAGGTAGGAGTTCATGTCAGAGCAGTCGCTCATGCACTCATAGGAACGACCCTGGAAGTTCCTCTCCTCGTAAAAGATGATCTGCAAAAAAAAAAAAAATAAAATAAAATTGTAATGGTTGGAAAACAAGTAGCAAAGTGAAAATGATGATTTTTATTTAGTCATTACTGCTCATTATAAAATATGTTTAGAAGTACCTTGCCCCTCATGTTCATGTCGGTGTTGCTCATGTTGGCTGTGGATGTGCTGTCGCTGTTGCTCCTGAACTGCATGCCTACCTGGTTTAACCCTTTCCTTTTATACCTGACCAAACTAAAGATCAATGGCCCCCCTCAGGGAACCCCTTACTCAGCAATTTACTATTGAAGCCTATAGAATGCCGAGGTTATGACCATTTTTTCAGGGGACCTGGGTACCTCTCAGTCTTTTCTCTCATTACAGAAAGAATTCCCAACAGTGTTTGTAACGTGAATAGGTTGGTCCATGTGGTGTTGGAGTTGTCGGTGGATTAAGGCTGGGAGCATCGGGGCACTTGGATTGTTGAGCGGAGCCGAGGTGGTAAGCGAAGAAAAGGATTCGGAGATTTCGGGAGCTTGCCATTCGTCATCAAACATGTTGCTGTCTGAAGGGTTGAGGATAGGCTCGTTCTCCGTGGTTCTATACGTTTTTTGTGTTTCTTGTCTGACACCGATCATGTGAAAACTGAGTAGAGGAGGGACTCAACAGACAGGGTGTGCTTAAGTATGTTTTGAGCGGAAATAGGGTGAGTGTAAGGCGTGGTCTTTGTTCCTGAACCTAGTTATAAAACTTTATTTTGAGTATCTGGTAATGCCCTTTGGTCTCACTAATTGTTGTCTGTCTGCCAGAACCTGGTCAATGATGTGTTAAGGGATATGATTGGATGCTTTGTTTTTGTTTATCTGATTGACATTTAGATTTTTTACAAGGACCTTTATGCTCACTAGCAATATGTGCAACAAGTTCTCCAGCAACGGTTTATCTGAACGCTGAGACATTTTGTGCTTCATCAGTTGTCTTTTTTTTGTCATTTCACAGGAGCAAATGAATCCTGCCAAGCTGTCACTGAATGGCCAGCACCCATCTACGTAAAAAAGCTTTAGATTTATCCACAACTACAGTCATCTGGCAGCACCTCGAACCACCCAGACCTCCACTTTCACTCCATACCGTTGGACCCCTGAGGCAGAAACAGCCTTCCAGGAACACAAACATGACCTCACTTTCACTTCAGTCCTCATTCACCTACACTCTGACCTCTAGTTCCATCTTGGAGGTGGACACGCATAGATGCTGTTCTTTCACAACGTTCGCCCTTAGAATTTTCACCCATATGGATTATTCTCTGAGAAGCTCTAATCTACAGAAAGAAAAATTGACATTGATAACCAATAAGTCAAGGCAGTCCAGTTGGCCCTTGAGGAATGGCATTACTGATTGTATGGACTGACCAAGAAAATGGAACCTATATCCAGACCTACATCCAGACTGCCAAACATCTGAACTCCCGGCAAGCCAGATGGGCGTTTTGACAGATTTAGTTTTACACTAATTTGTCCCTCACTACCAACCCCGTTTGTTCCCAGGCCAGGCAGTTGAGGTTGTGGTTGATCTTTGCCATAGCATTAGACTTAGAGAAAGGCCCAAGCTGCCCTTCTTCATGCCTCGGCTAGGGCCTAGTCCCAAGTCAATTATTTCTGCCACCTAGCTCCTGTCTACACCCAAAGCCAAAGGTTATTACTCTCTTTCAAGGAGCTACCTCTGAAAAATTAATACAAAAAAGCCTTTCCCTGGGTTTACTGGTCTTTCAAAATTGATATCATTAAATCCCCTACTGTGCCCGTAAAACTCCCAGCCTCTCTCAGGATGCACCCCATCTTCTATGTTTCCCTGATTAAACCTGTGTACTCCAGTCCCCTGATGAGTATCGATCACCATCCTGCCTATACTGTCCGGTGACTTCTGGACATGCGCCATTGGATCCATGGCTTGCTGTACCTGGAGGATTGGGAAGGTTACAAACCTGAGGAGTAGTGATGGGTAGGTCGCTAACGATCTGGCTCTAAGAGCCGGCTCTTTGAAGTGAACGATGGGAGCCACCTCCGGGTAGTTTTTTTTTTTTTCTGTTAAAGCCACATGTGATTAGTCAACATGTGTGGTGGCTGTGTGTCTACACTGCGCAGGAGGGGGAGGGGAGGGGTTACAGACACAGGCAGCACAGTGAGCACACAAACAGGAGGGAGAGAGACGAGAGAGTGAGAGAACTTTGCACTACATAGTCAGACAGAGACCACACACTGGAAGATGAGGAACCGTAGTAAAGTTTGGACACATTTGAAATGACAGGAAACGTAGTAAAGTTTGGACACATTTTATTCTGATAGACAGTTCAAATGCAGAGTGTAGACTGTGCAAAGTTAAAATTTCATATCGAGCAGCTTTTTGTCTAATTGAGATGGGTCTTTGTTTTTGTATTTTATAATTTATTTTTGTAGCACTCTGTTCCATGTTGAGTATATCAATAAATCCATATAAATAATAAACATTTGATATAATGTATGTATTTACATTAGTAATTCATTTTACACATAATGTGGTAATACATTTATTTAAGCAACAAAAAATCTGAGCCACTTGGGAGCCGAAAGAGCCGGCTCTTTTTAGTGAGCCGAGCTGGAGTTCCCATCACTAGACTGTGCAAAGTTAAAATTTCATATCGAGCAAGCTCCACAATCAACCTGCACAGGCATATGTGAACTGTTCATCCATCAGTACAATTAGAAGAGAAGGGAAGGGAACCTGCTTTTAATGAAAGTGCCAGTGTGTCTACTGCAACTGTTGCTGCTCCTACAACGTTTACAGCATCATCCAGTACACCACCACAACCACCTAGACCTACAACCCAGAGCTCTATGAGCCAGTATTTGCAAAAGGCTATTACCCCGGCAAAACGAAACTGAGATCAGGACAAATAAAACCAAAATTACCAGTATAAAGTTAAAATAATCATAAATACACAACATAATAAAAATAAATATATTGCAATGTGCAAAACAGCAGTTTTAGGTGTCTCTATGAACTAACCACAATCAATTATCTAAATGTAACTTTTAATTATTTTTTTCATTTGCTCTGTATCCTGTATTCTGCCCTGTAGCGTGTAGATCATCATATCATTCTGCCTTCGTTCACCCAGAAGAGCCGGCTCTTTGAACCAGCTCGTAGCTGACTGCAGTGTGTGAATGGGTGAATGTTGACTTGTTGTTTAATGTGCCTTGACTGGTCGGAAGACTAGAAAGGCACTATATAAATGCAGTACATTCACCATCTATTTGCATGTGTTTTCTTAAATCGCAGGGCTCTGAGCTCTCAGGGCCACCGTAGTGTCACCAGGGCTTTTCAATAATCCTAAAATGTAAAAACAGTCAAATGTATAACCAAAAAAATTTAAATATGTTGAATTTCATGACCCATTATATATTTTTTGGTAGTGCATAATATTTCAGTGTGACAGCTGGGCAATAAGCTTGACAAAAGTCTAAAGTAGTGCCACAATTATTTTATTTAGTGGTATTTGATACATTCAGTGAGCATTTAATGGCAAGAGTCCATGATACGCCTCATGCTCATGAACCTCATGCCGCTGAATCCCATGTCCCTGTAGCTCCTGTACTCTCCGGGCCTCAGGTACATCATCCTGCCTCTGTAGTTGGGCTGCTCGTACATCAGCCAGTGGCCGTCCATCACGTTGCAGGACATGCAGTCGGACATACGGTAGCGGTCCATGATGTTGTTGCAGTCGTCCATCAGCTCATGCATCTGACCACCGAAGTTCTCCCTCTCGTAGATCCTCATCCTGTACTGGCCTCTGTGCTGTTTTTAAAAGAAAAGAAAAATTAATTAATATCAAGTATTGTTGTGGTTGTCACCCGTAACAGAACCATGGTGTGATGCATCCTGTTTTATACCTACCATGGGGATCATACGGCAAGACCTGATGCAGTCCCTCATTCCCATCATGCTCATGTAGTCGGCGTACTCGCCCCTCCTCATGAAGTACTGGTTTCCCATGTAGTTGGAACGGTCGTAGACCATGAAGCAGCCACTCTCCACCCTGCAGGAGTGGCACCTGCTCAGGTAGGAGTTCATGTCAGAGCAGTCGCTCATGCACTCATAGGAACGACCCTGGAAGTTCCTCTCCTCGTAAAAGATGATCTGCAAAAAAAAAACAAAAAAACAAAAAATTGTAATGGTTGGAAAACAAGTAGCAAAGTGAATATGATGATTTTTATTTAGTCATTACTGCTCATTATAAAATATGTTTAGAAGTACCTTGCCCCTCATGTTCATGTCGGTGTTGCTCATGTTGGCTGTGGATGTGCTGTCGCTGTTGCTCCTGAACTGCATGCCTACCTGGTTTAACCCTTTCCTTTTATACCTGACCAAACTAAAGATCAATGGCCCCCCCCAGGCAACCCCTTACTCAGCAATTTACTATTGAAGCCTATAGAATGCCGAGGTTATGACCATTTTTTCAGGGGACCTGGGTACCTCTCAGTCTTTTCTCTCATTACAGAAAGAATTCCCAACAGTGTTTGTAACGTGAATAGGTTGGTCCATGTGACTGTTAGAACTGTGTGTACGACCTCTATGGTGCATGTTTTTCTGTATTTGTTCTGAGCTTTGGTGTAATAAATTTGTTCCACACACAACAAGTATTCTCAAGAGGAAAGTAGTGTGCAGAGGCAGTCTATGATTGCATAGTGTTAACAATTTGATAAATGTCTAAATGATATAACAGAGGTGCATATAGTACTGTTTCACATAAACATAAATAATCCATTGCAATTTAATGTGTTTTGCACATAATTAAGCTAACAGGATATTAAAGGCAGAGATGGTACAAATACTTTGTTACTGTACTTAAGTAGTTTATTCAGGTATCTGTAGGCTACTTTAGTTTGATTTTACTCCCATTTTTACACAAATATCTGTACTTTCCACTCCTTTCATTTTAAAAATAGGCTTGTTACTTTAGTTTTATTGCATTTGAGGGGAATTATCAATTATTATTATGATGTTTTTGCATTGTTGCACACCTTCCCAACTTCAGACAACATATAAGAATGTGTGTACATTGGCAACCTCTGATTAAAGGAACATTTTGGAAAATCAACCTGTGTTTTTCTCTCTGTTGCCAGAAAGCCTTTTTTGTTTTTTTGGTTTATGTTTTGTTAATATGTTAAGTGTACATTTTGTGCGTTTATATATCTGAGAAATAAAGATTATGAGCATCTTTACG